AAATAAAAGCCAGTTAAAATCTAGAGGACCAGGGCAGGTATAATTATCATAGGTGAGAAAAGAAAACCAGGAACCTGAGACTGGGTCAGGATGAAGGGGCCTCTCCCTCAGCCTTGGCCCTCCTACTTGTGCTTTTTAAGCATGCTGTTAAATAGAAAACTCTCACTAAGGGGGATGAAAAGGCTTTCCACTTCTCTGAGAGGAATCAGTTCACTTCTGTGTAGTTATTCTTGCTTTGTAGATACGGAAAATTTTTATTCAAGAGGCTAATCCATTGTTTTAATTTCTGTATTAAACTCCTAGTCAACCCCACCTTGTACTGTTGTCAGTGGACCACTGAATTCTGCCTCTTGGTGGAATTATGGTGGTAGTTCCGTAACCATTTGTTACAGTCTACGTGCTGACTTCCATTTGCTTTTAAATTATGCCACAATTCAAATGACTATAATGCCATTCTCTGAAGAATGCTTAAAAGAGGGGTCTCCGAAAAGCTTTGTGAGATGGGAGCACCCTGGTCAATTTTTAGAAATAAGGAATGGGAGATGGAGGAAGAGAGAAAGTGAAATTGAAAGAATATTCTAGGGGCGCCTGGGTGGCTCAGTTGGTCAAGCATCTGACTCTTGATTTCAGCTCAGGTCATGATCTCAGGGTTGTGAGATGGAGCCCTGTGTTTCTGCACTCAGCGGGGAGTCTGTGTAAGACTCTCTCTCCCTCTCTCTGCCCCCCCTCCTTCTCTCTCTCTCAAATAAATAAGTAGAATCTTCAGAAAAGAAAGAATATTCTGTATTCTCTTAATGTTCTACATCTTTGATAAAAAATTTCAATAAAAAGATTTTATTGTAAATACTGTTGCAGAATATGTATTTACACAGAGAGAAACAGAAATCTTATTTTGTCCAAACACCACCAGGCCTGCTCAGTTACTTCACTGTCCTTGCAATTACTTTTGTGATGACAATGAATAAACTTAACTCTTCCACCAAATATGCTTAAGGATAATTTCACACCCCAGTGCAATGCAGCTGCTTCTGCCATGGCCAGAGTTTAAGAGCACATGGGAGCATCAGAAAGGAAGCATAACAGACTATTTCAATTTAAAACCATGGCATCAAGAATATTGTGTGTTATCTTCACGTTCAGACTTTTTCCCCCACTGAACAATTCCAAAGGGACAAGAAGTCCTAGTTGTTGTATGTTTAGCAAAATGTTTCTAATAACTTTCTAAATGAGTAGGGCTTTTCAAGATCATGGTACATTTTGCCTGAAGTCTTTTTCTCTTTTAATTTTTAAATTCAGGTATGTTTGGAGCATGTTACCATTTCATTTACACTTAGCCTACCAAGCTGTAGTATTTGAAGAGTTATTTGATGTTGGAGAAGTCCTATACATATTTTATAAGCCATGTTAAGCGTTTCTCTTTGAACCATAAAGTTGCATTTTTGCGGTCTCTAAGTGGAAATAAGTTTAAAAAATAACATAACTAGGGTTCCTAAATGCAAAATCACTAAGAGGAGGAAGAAAATGTATCTCAGTATCTTTTCTCACCCAATAAGAGGATACTCATCTACAAAGAGCCGGAAGTTGCTCCATTCTTTAATAACAATCTCCAGAAACAAATGGAATTTATGAAGGCTATTATGTCACTGAAGCAAACAACCAGTCACTTGATGGTTCTATCAAAAGATCAATGCAAAGTTAAAAAAAAAATGGGGTGGAAGGGTTGGTAAATGGTTATTCAGTATCATGCATACATTTCTCTGCCCCAGCTTTGTTGATGGAATCTTTCACTTCTTTTTTTGCATAAAAGGATTGAAATTCAGGGACTACTTCAGTGGTTTAGTCCCCTTTTCTTCTCTTTCATTCGATTCAAAGGACTATCCACTGTTTCTTACTGATGCATTTAGAAATTTTAAAGCCTAAGGTAACCTAAACAACAGCTTCTTCTCAGTATTTTCAAGGCACAAGGTTCTACCCAAAGTAGTATAGACCCAAAGCTGTGAATGAAAGGGCTTCAAAATGTTGACTGATGAACATACAGATTTTATATTGAAGAAAGTGAACCTGCCTGCTCTGATCTAGGACGGGACTTGACAAGTGAAAACCCAGAGAGTTGCCTCTGTTGTGGGCATGAGGTCAAGACGGGAAAGCTAAAGGGCAGAATGAGGCCTACCTACAACCTGGGAGGCCCTTTCAGGAGTGGTCAAATCTGGTTTTTTATTTTTGGTACTGCAGTTTGTTTCTCAGAAATGTTCTTTAGAAAATCAGATCCCAGAGTCATGGTTCCGGTTGAAGAAGGGTGATTATAGGAAGGGCAAAGGTCTTCCCTGTTGACTTCTTTCTTCTGCACTTTGACAACGGCTCCTTAGCCAACTACAGCATTCCTGAGGGGTTAGCTTGATCACCACTGTGACCAAGGGCAACTCTCTCTTTTTATAGCTGAGAAAACCTGAGGTAAGAGAAAAGTAGCAGTATTTTATTCATAGTGACAGTAATAATATTTTTTGGCAGAAACTAAGTTATTTTCCATTGCACTATGCCAGTGGTTGACGACAACCTTTTTTCTGTAAAGGACCAGATAGGAAATATTTAGACCGTGGGCCATATGGTCTCTCTGGGGATGACTCAGTTCTGCTTTTGTAGTGAGAAAGCAGATGTAGACAATACATAAACAAATGGGTTGGCAGGGTTCCAATAAAATGTTATTTATGGAAACTGAAATTTGAATTTTGTATAATTTTCATGTGTTATAAAACATATTCTTATATTCCTCCTTTTTTTTTTTTTAACCGTTCAAAAACGTAAAGATCATTCTTAGCTCCTGGAACTGTACAAAAATAGGCATCAGGCTGTGTTTGCTGACCTCTGCACTATTCCACCTCTTTATCCAGTTTAAATAGTACATTTCATGCACTTCTTTAAAATAGTTTAGACCATCTTTGGGATTCATAAAAGTATCATTTTTTCCCCCCCATGGATGTTTCCTACTCAACTACTCTCTGCTGCCCTGATCTGTATATTTGCGTGTTTTCCCCCAACCCCATCTTATTTCTCTATAGTTTTACCTGAGGGTTCAGAGCCATTTACTGAAAAGTTAGGATTCTCCTGACCGGTTTGCCAGTGAGTGTGTGAATATATATACACCCAATCAAAATCAGAGCTAAACTAGGTTGGATTTCCTGTCCATAACTAATCCTCCCAACATCAGGGACTCTGTTCGGGGAGACCTGGCTTCCTGCTCTTTCAATGCTCATGATGCTCTGGCAGGATATACTCTGCCTAATTTTCTTAGCTGTCGTCCTCCTGAGCTGGATTTTTCTAAAAGGATGAGGGTCAACAACAACAGAAGTAGCAACATTTGTAATAAGACTAATAAAATAATAACTAACACTTATTCAGCAACCATTATGAGATAGAATATTACATGATAGGTAAAGATGTAAAATCTAGGGATGCCTGGATGACTCAGTTGGTTAAGCGTCTGCCTTCAGCTCAGGTCATGATCCCAGGGTCTTGGGATTGAGTCCTGCATCAGGCTCCTTGCTCAGTGGGAAGCCTATTTCTCCCTCTGCCTGCAGCTCCCCCTGCTTGTGCTCTCTCTCTCTCTCTGGCAAATAAATAAAATCTTAAAAAAAATTATGTAGAATCTATCGCCAGACCTCATGGGATAATCCTAGTTCTGCCACTTACTAGCTGTGTGATAATGGGCAAGTTACTGCTACCTCTGTTTCCTCATCTGTAAAATGGTGATGATGATGGCAGTATATATATACCTTATAAAGTTATAAAACCAAATGACTTAATATATGTAAAACTCTTTAAACAGTGCCTGATAAATGGTAAGCACTATGTAAATATAAAATGGTATTATTGTTATTATTGGCTAGATATAATATTTCAAGTGCACTTTTTTCATATTTCCTCCCAATTCTTCTATTTCTTCACCCTAGAGTTAGGCATCATTAACTTCAGACAATAAAATCTAGACATTGCCTATGTCTACAATGAAAACAATAGTTAAGAATTATTGAAAACTTATTATAGAAATCAGGCATTAGTCCAAAGTCTTTCTATGCATTGAATAATTTAATTTTTGTAATATTCTCAAGATAGATACTATTAAGATATATTTAAAGATGAAGGAACTGAGACACAGACAAATCATTGTAGCTAGTCCAAGGTCACATACCTGGTAAATGATTGAGTCATTACTGAAAGCAAAATAATTAAGAGTCAAACCTGAATAGATGTAGGTTGAAAGTTCGCATGATCATATAACTGAAGTCCAAGTGTCAGATGAATGCGGGCTTTCATAGTTCTTGGAATATTAAATCTAAGAGGCATCTTTTGAAACCCAGAAGAGTAATTTTAGAGAATGACAAGAAAGTACTGTTTTATATTGTGGACAGAAAAGCCACAAAATTTATTACTTTAAGAGGCTGTAGAGGCTTCAGGAAGACAGAATAGAGATATTTGGGATTCTTCACCTAATCATGTAAGATTAGTCTTTGGGGGAGAGGCAATAACATATCTCCCCCACTCCCAAACCCTACTTGTTACTTCTCTAGGTTAAAGAATGACACTTTGAATAAAATATGAGACTGACTTAGAATAGTAATTTTATACTACCTTTGCCTTAGTAAGTTTCATCTCTCTCTCTCTCTTTTTTTTTTTCTTCTATTTTCTCCCACTTGGTTCTTTGTCAGAGCAACAGGAGGTGGAGAGACACCTGGGATATTGGATCCCAGCTTAACAGACGCTGGTGTATTAATCCCAGTTGGGAGTCTCTGTTCCCATGTCTCCCCAGCTCTCCTTGGCAAGAGCAAGCCTCCGAAGATTGACAATTAACTTGGGTCAGAAAGGATTATTTTGGGAGCATCTAGAAGAATTTAAACACCCCCATGGGACAACTTCAGGCATCTTAAACAATCATGGGTTTGAAATCTAGGGGCACATTAATGTGTTATTTGGCTCAAAATGTTTCCCATTATATTTTCTTGCAGTTCAGAAAGACTACAACTTCAAAAGACATTAATTAGGGGACGGAGCAAGATGGCGGAGGAGTAGGAGACCTAGATTTTGTCTGGTCTCAGGAATTCAGCTGAATACGGATCAAACCATTCTGAACACCTACGAACTCAACAGGAGATCGAAGAGGAGAGTAGCAACAACTCTCTGAACAGAGAAGCGACCACTTACTGGAAGGTAGGACGCGCGGAGAAGTGAATCCGAGGCGATATTCGGGAGGATAGACGGCGGGGGAGGGGGGCCTCCGCCGGCCGCTTCTGGCAAGTGATAGAGCCGCGGAGCACAAAATCGGAACTTTAGAAGATGGCTCCGCTGAGGGACGTCGCTCCAGTGGCTAAGCGGGGGGTGGAACCCTCGCGGGACAGTGTGGTCTTAGGACCCTCGGGGTCACAGAAAGACCGGGGGTGCCTGAGTGCAGCAGAGCTCTCAGGTATCGGAGCGGGGAAGCTGGCTGCAGAGACGGAGCCGAGGCGCGGGATCTCAGCTCGGGGTTGCCATAAACTGTGATCCGCGGCCCAGTCGGGCCACTGCTCCTCCAGCAGGGACCCAACAAGCGGAGGATCCGGGGAGACTCCCCTTGCTCCCCCAGGAGGAGTGGCGCAGGAGCGCACCGCAGGGATCTGCTGGGTTTGGAGACTCCACACGGGGTCGGGTGCCAGACATAGAAACGCTCAGTCACAGGCCGGGTGAGCACGGAGTGCGGCCGGAGACCAGGGACATGGGAGTGACTGCTTTTCTCTGGGGGCGCACTGAGGAGCGGGGCCCCGAGTTCTCAGCTCCTCCGGGTGGAGATTGGGAGGCCACCATTTTCGCCCTGGTCCTCCAAAGCTGTACCGAGAGCTTGCAGGGAACAAAAGCTCCTGAGAGCAAACCCGAGCAGCTTGCTTAGCCCAGACTCACAAGGGCGGGGCAATTCCGCCTCCGGCAAAGACATTTGGGAACCACGGCAACAGGCCCCTCCCCCAGAAGATCAGCACAAACAGCCAGCAAGCCAAGACCAAGTTTACCGATCAAGGAGAACGGGAGAACTCCAGCGCTAGGGGAATACTGCACATAGAATTCATGGCTTTTTTTACCATGATTCATTAGTTCATCAAAGTTAATTTTTGTTGACTGTTTTTCTTTAATTTTTCTTTTTCCCTTTTTCAACCAACATCTTATCAATCCCTTTTTTAAAAAAACACATTTTTTATTTTTCATTTTTAGAGTCATATTTTATCCCTTCATAGTAGTTACCCTTATTTTTGGCATATATATATAAGTTGTTCTCTCTTTAAAATGTTGACATACAGTTTCTCCTAACAGATCAAAATATACCCTAAATCACTAGAGTATGGCTTTGTTCTAGTCTCCTGCCTGATCACATTCTCTCCCCTTATTCTTTCTTTTTTTTTAAATCTTCTTTCTTTTTTCAAACAACTTATCTAATCAATTCCTTTTATAAAATCTTTTCTAATTTTCATCTTTACAGTCATCTTCCATCCCTTCATTGTATCAACCCTTATTTTGTACATATATGTCTTTCTTCCTTTAAAATTTTAGGAGGCACTTTTTTCTAACAGACCAAAATACACCCAAAATCTAGCATGTGGCACTGATCTATGCACTAGCCTGATCATGTTTGATCATATTCTGCTTTTTTTTTATATTGTTGTTTTTGTTTTTATCTTTTTTTCTTTTTTTTTCTCTATCTTTTTTTCTTTCTTTCCCTTTCTTTTCCCCTGGTTTCAGGTCTTTTCTGATTGGTATAGAGTATATTTCCTGGGGACGTTGTTAACCTGTTAGCATTTTGTTCTCTCATTCATCTGTTCTCCTCTGGACAAAATGACAAGACGAAAAAAATCACCTCAGCAAAAAGAACAAGAGGTAGTACCGTCAGCCAGGGACCTACTCAATACGGACATTAGTACGATGTCGGACCTAGAGTTCAGAATCATGACTTTAAAGATACTAGCTGGGTTTGAAAAAAGCGTGGAAGTTATTAGAGAAACCCTTTCTGGAGAAATAAAAGAACTAAAATCTAACCAAGTTGAAATCAAAAAGGCTATTGATGAGGTGCAATCAAAAATGGGGGCACTAACTGCTAGGATAAATGAGGCAGAAGAGAGGATCAATGATATAGAAGACCAAATGATGGAAAATAAAGAGGCTGAGAAAAAGAGAGAGAAACAACTACAGGATCACGAGGTCAGAATTCAAGAGATAAGCGATACGATAAGACGAAACAACATTAGAATAATTGGGATCGCAGAAGAAGAAGAAAGAGAGAGAGGGGCAGAAGGTATATTGGAGCAAATAATAGCAGAGAACTTCCCTAATGTGAGGAAGGAAACAGGCATCAAAATCCAGGAGACACAGAGAACCCCTCTCAAAATCAATAAAAATAGGTCAACACCCCGACATCTAATAGTAAAACTTACGAGTCTCAGAGACAAACAGAAAAGCCTGAAAGCAGCTCGGGAGAAGAGATATGTAACCTACAATGGTAGAAACATTAGATTGGCAACAGACCTATCCACAGAGACCTGGCAGGCCAGAAAGGACTGGCAAGATATCTTCAGAGCACTAAATGAGAAAAATATGCAGTCAAGAACACTATATCCAGCTAGGCTGTCGTTGAAAATAGAAAGAGAGATAAAAAGCTTCCAGGACAAACAAAAACTAAAGGAATTTGCAAACACAAAACCAGCCCTCCAAGAAATATTGAAAGGGGTCCTCTAAGCAAAGAGAGTGCCTAAAAGCAGCATAGATCAGAAAGGAACACAGACAATATACAGTAACAGTCACCTTCCAGGCAATACAATGGCACTAAATTCATACCTTTCAGTAGTTACCCTGAATGTAAATGGGCTAAATGCCCCAATCAAAAGACACAGGCTATCAGATTGGATTCAAAAACAAGACCCCTCAATATGCTGTCTGCAAGAGACTCAATTTAGACCCAAAGACACCCCCGGATTGAAAGTGAGGGGGTGGAAAATCATCTACCATGCTAATGGACACCAAAAGAAAGCTGGGGTGGCAATCCTTATATCAGACAAATTAGATTTTAAACCAAAGACTGTAATAAGAGATGAGGAAGGACACTATATCCTACTTAAAGGGTCTGTCCAACAAGAAGATCTAACAACTGTAAATATCTATGCCCCGAACATGGGAGCAGCCAATTATATAAGGCAATTAATAACAAAAGCAAAGAAACACATTGACAACAATACAATAATCCTGGGGGACTTTAACACCCCCCTCACTGAAATGAACAGATCATCTAAGCAAAAGATCAACAAGGAAATAAAGACTTTAAATGACACACTGGACCAAATGGACTTCAAAGACATATTCAGAACATTCCATCCCAAAGCAACGGAATACACATTCTTCTCTAGTGGCCATGGAACATTCTCCAGAATTGATCACATCCTGGGTCACAAATCAGTTCTCAACCGGTACCAAAAGATTGGGATTATTCCCTGCATGTTTTCAGACCACAATGCTTTGAAACTAGAACTCAATCACAAGAGGAAAGTCGGAAAGAACTCAAATACATGGAGGCTAAAGAGCATACTACTAAAGAATTAATGAGTCAACCAGGAAATTAAAGAAGAATTAAAAAAATTCATGGAAACCAATGAAAATGAAAACACAACTGTTCAAAATCTTTGGGATGCAGCAAAGGCAGTCCTGAGAGGATAGTATATAGCAATACAAGCCTTTCTCAAGAAACAAGAAAGGTCTCAAATACACAACCTAACCCTACACCTGAAGGAGCTGGAGAGAGAACAGCAAATAAAGCCTAAACCCAGCAGGAGAAGAGAAATCATAAAGATCAGAGCAGAAGTCAATGAACTAGAAACCAAAAGAACAGTAGAACAGATCAACGAAACTAGGAGCTGGCTCTTTGAAAGAATTAACAAGATTGATGAATCCCTGGCCAGACTGATCAAAAAGAAAAGAGAAATGACCCAAATCCACAAAATCATGAATGAAAGAGGAGAGATCACAACCAACACCAGAGAAATACAAACAATTGTAAGAACATCTTATGAGCAACTCTATGCCAGCAAATTAGATAACCTGGAAGAAATGGGTGCATTCCTAGAGATGTATCAACTACCAAAATTGAACCAGGAAGAAATAGAAAACCTGAACAGACCTGTAGCCACTAAGGAAATTGAAGCAGTCATCCAAAATCTCCCAAGAAACAAAAGCCCAGGGCCAGATGGCTTCCCAGGGGAATTCTATCAGACATTTAAAGAAGAATTAATACCTATTCTCCTGAAACTGTTCCAAAAAATAGAAATGGAAGGAAAACTTCCAAACTCATTTTATGAGGCCACCATTACCTTGATCCCAAAACCAGACAAAGACCCCATCAAAAAGGAGAATTACAGACCAATATCCTTGATGAACATGGATGCAAAAATTCTCACCAAAATACTAGCCAGTAGGATCCAACAGTACATTAAAAGGATTATTCAGCACGACCAAGTGGGATTTATCCCTGGGCTGCAAGGATGGTTCAACATCCACAAATCAATCAATGTGATACAATACATTAACAAAAGAAAGAACAAGAACCATATGATCCTCTCAATAGTTGCAGAAAAAAGCATTTGACAAAGTACCCCGTCCTTTTTTGATCAAAACTCTTCAGAGTATAGGGATAGAGGGGACATACCTCAATATCCTAAAAGCCATCTATGAAAAACCTACAGCGAATATCATTCTGCATGGGGAAAAGCTGAGAGCTTTTCCCCTAAGGTCAGGAACGTGGCAGGGATGTCCACTCTCACCACTGCTATTCAACATAGTATCAGAAGTCCTAGCCACAGCAATCAGACGACAAAAAGAAATCAAAGGCATCCAAATCGGCAAAGAGGAAGTCAAACTCTCACTCTTTGCAGATGATATGATACTGTATGTGGAAAACCCAGGAGACTCCACCCCAAAACTGCTAGAACTCATACAGGAATTCAGTCAAGTAGCAGGATATAAAATCAATGCACAGAAATCAGTGGCATTCCTATACAC